TTTTTTTTTTTTTTTTTTTTTTTTTTTTTTTTTTTGCCCATCAAGTGGCTACCACCTGCAATATCACAAAGATTCAATCAGACACAGGAGAAACATTGATAGATCATGATGACTTAAATAAAGCTTTTTTACAATTCTATTCTAGCCTTTACACCTCAGAACTTAGCAATGACCTTGGCCGCTCATAATTTGACTATCCCTACCGTGTCAGAGGAACAAAACATTAACTTAGGTGCAGATATCGCGGTTGCTGAAATCATCATGACCATAAAATCTATGCAGAACAAGTCCCCAGGCCCGGACAGGTTTACAACGGAATTTTATAAAAAGTTTTGCTATCAGCTGGCACCAACTCTTAAAGAAATGTTTAAAGCACTCTCCTTAAGCATTCTTCCTATAACTCTGAGACAGGCCTTTATATCTCTACTGGCTAAGAAGGATAAAGATCCGGTATTTTGCTCATCATATCGCCCTATCTCCCTGCTTAATATGGATTTCAAAGTGCTGTCTAAGGTCTTAGCTAAGCGCCTGGAGAGTGTGATCCCAGATATTGTCTCACATGATCAAACAGGATTTATCCAAGGCCGACACTCCTACTCAAATTTAAGAAAACTATTCAATGCTGTCCATTCGCCCGGTTAACGTGCCCAGAGGTAGTGGTTTCTCTTGATGCCGAGAAGGCCTTTGACCGCGTCGAGTGGAAATACTTATTTGCTGCCCTCCAAAAATATGGCTTCTGAGGAATTCATTGCCTGGATTAGATTACTTTATTAGCAGCTGTTATCTCTGACAATACTCAATCTGACTACTTCACCCTTGGACTGGAAACAAGACAGGGGTGTCCTCTTTCTCCTGTCTTGTTCGCACTAGCCATTGAGCCGCCCCTAGCAGTGGCACTGCGACTCTGTAAGGACTTGAAGGGTATACCTCGTGGTGATTTAGAACTGAAAGTTTCTCTTTACGAGGATGATTTGCTGTTGTATGTCTCCGACCCATCTCTATCTCTTCCCTATATTCTAGATATCCTGAATACGTTTGTGAAAATATCAGGGTATAAGCTAAATTTGCAAAAAAGTTAACTTTTCCCTCTAAATTCTGAAGCAGAGGCACTCTCTTCCAGCCTTTTCCCCTTTAAGGTGGCCCAAGATGGTATTAAACTTGGGGATTGAGGTCACGTGCTCCTTCCATTCTACTTAAAAAAAATATATATATTACCCTGAATAAGTGCAAACAGGATATGAATCGCTGGGCCTCGTTACCGTTATCATTAGTGGGCCGCGTTAACCTAATTAAAATGATAGTATTACCCAAATTTTTATATCTCCTTCAAAATATTCCTTTCCTGATTAAAAAAATCTTTTTTTTTTTAAATCTTGACAAAAACATCATCTCTTTCATATGGGGGACCAAACCTAGTCGGATCAGCAAGACTCAACTCCAAAGACCAAAGCGCGCAGGAGGCTTAGCTTTACCCAATTTTCTCTTTTACTAGTGGGCATGCAATATCCAGAAGCTACTTCACTGGTTTGAAGACAGGCCAATGGTAGGAAAGGCGGACTGGGTGCAAATAGAATTCTCCTCCTGCCGGCACCACCTCGGCTCAGTGGTCTGCGCAGCCCTGCCCATTCTCAGCAATAATTTGAGTACAAACATAATAGTAAATCACACAATAAGAATATGGGCTCAGTTTAGGAGACATTTTGGGCTCTCTACCCTCTCCCCCATCAAATTGAATCATATGTTTATTCCATCCTGTACAGATAACGCATTTACTCTAGGGTTTGATAAAGGGATCAGATCAATCGATAATTTATACATAGAAGACACATTTGCTTCATTTTCCCAACTATCACAAATCTATTACTTACCAAGGAACAATTTTTTCCGTTACTTGCAGGTCAGGAGCTTCGTACGAAATACTTTTGACTCATTTCCAAATAAGCCCATGAATTCCCATGTTGACAGCCTCCTAGAGTTGAACCCGAACAGTAGAGGATTGATATCCCAGACTTACGAGCTCATTGACAATATCAACCCACACTCCTTGGAAAAAATGAATATACACTCAGAGGGTCCTCCCAAACCTTTAGTAAAGTATGGAGACCTTTTCTAGACTTCTACGACTCCTTACAAGCAGTGAGCAATGCCCCTCCCCTTTTTTTCTTTTTCTTTCTCTTTCTTTCTCTCTATTTTTATTTATTTATTCAATTATTTATTTTTTACATGTGACTTCTCACTCTATTATTTATTTTTTCAAAATTGTTTTACTTTACTGTTGCTCTGTTTGATCAATTAATGCAATTATTTGATCTTATGCCTACATCTCCGCCACCTGAATGTACCTGAGTTTAGCCTGTAACCCTACAATGGGTGGGTAGGGTCGTGAATGAGGTTTTAAATTTCAATCTGTAATTGCATTCAGACATGTGTGAATCCTCTTCCCTGGTGGGATAAAACCTGTGAAAATTAATAAAACATATTTACAAGAAAAAGAAAAGGAAAAAAAAGCTGCACTGGAAGCAGCGCTGGAGGCTGGAAGCAGAGCAACTGAGGAAGACAGTAGCTGTGCAATGAGAAAATAAGCTAATGGGAAAAGTAATTAGAATACATGTAGTGTATTTATGAAAAGTTATTAAATTATAAAATAGCTATAACTTTGTGATTCTGTTTAGGCCAGCAGAGAAGGCTTTGCCGGCCCTGACCCTGACGGCCCACCACTGGTGTGTATATATATATGTATATATATGTGTATATATATGTATATATATATATACACACACATAACACATTGGGTCCACCAGTAGTGCAATTAAGGGAGCAATAATGCAATAGTAGCCTTAATCCAACATGGAAAACTGTATCTTGTCCACGTGTTGCCAACGCACCTCTGCCACCATTACCGCACCCCAACTTCCATATAGCCAACAGAGTTGTGGTTCGTTTAAAGCACACTCTCAAGATTTACCATAATGCCTCTGCTAACCTAACATAGTTGCACTACTGCGTATTACTATAATTGTATTAATACTGTCTGCCTCATATTTATAGTGAACTTTTCCTTATATGGTGTGTTGTTAGCGTGAAAAAAATGAAGATATACCTTTGTTAAAATTCATTGTTTGCTACCCAAACCTTAATGCTTTGAGGTTTGGGTATTCTGGTGAACCACAATGGAAAAATGGCAACAATTGAAGTGTTTGGTTTTATATCAGTATGTGTTCTGGTTTATTAAACCAAGTAAATGAGAACTTACAACTTCAGTTAATACTTTGTAATGTATATTGTGGTGAACAAGTAGAAAATGGTAAACGTAAAAAATTATAATGAAATAAGAATGGAATAAGTTCAATGATGACAATATAAATGAAATAGATAAAATAACTAAAGGGTTGAATTGCCAAAGTGTTCATTTTTTATTTTCTAACAGTCTGCAGGGTCCAAGTTTGAAATCTTAAAGTCCAAATATCACGTGTGTAATTGTCCAAAGGTTCATGATTAATATTCGATCTGATGAGGAAAATAAGTCCCCGGGGTCTTTGTGTGTTTCCATCGAAAAGACAAAATTAAGACCGTATTGTTTATTCAAGAAAGAATATAATGTGAAAAACCTTTTGGTATAATTTGTCTAAAGGTTAAGTTTAGTTATAAAAATGGTATTGTCCTCAGAGAGATCATTTGTTGTACAGCACAAACAGAGACACATCACAAAAGGTGCAGTTGGTTAGTTTTAAACAAAGTGGCATTAATGTCTACATACAGTGGTATGAATGTACTTAACAACATTAGCCTTAATACAAATACAAAACTAAATAAAATGTGTTTCCCGCCCGGTTGGTCCTATTTTTAGCAGTCACTGTGTTCTTAGAGCTCAGCTTTGACAAAAATAAAGGTAATATTTAGCAAAGCTTCTCAAACAAAGAAAAATGAACAATGCCAGGAATAACAACCATCTACTGGTTACACTTCCACAACTATACATTACACACAACCCATAGTCCGCACCAACTCTAAAACCACACCATCGTTACAACACATCATCATAACTCCCACAAAACCCTTATTATTGTTGTTGTTTAGTCTGAGCAATGTCCATATGAGTTAACTGTTACATTGTATGGTAGGTTGTATATGACACTTCAGCATGACATGATCTATGGTTGTATATCTACAGTGTATCAGTATCAAATATGTAACAGTACATCTTAATATCCAAACAAGTGGTTTGTTTTTCTGTAACATTTCTGAAGATATATTTACTGTCCATCACATCATTGATAACAGGATCTGTGTGATCTGTGCTTTTGTGTGCTCAGGTGCCCATCACGAGAGGAGTTCCCCCTTATAGAGACTGAACACAAGGCCCATCTTAGGAGACTCAAAGGTCAGGAAACATAAATGACATGATCAAAGAAGTATTTATAAATGGCATGGTATGTCTCTTCAATGAGCACATAGTCCTACTCCTCTGTATTGTAACTAGTACTTTTGACTCATGGTGAATTCTTCTTTCTGTTCTGTGAATTCCTGTTGTTGCTGAAGATTCATACTCCCCTTTTGACTAGTTGATGAGGCTTAAATCTATACAACTGGTTATTGCACCAGAATTCTCCCAATGAGTCTGAGATTTAAAGAAAATCTTTAATAAAAGCAATTAAAGTAGCGTGATAACCAGACGGAATTTATTTTAGTGTATTATTCATGTTAGCTGGTATTTTTCCCTAGCCACCAGCAGTGACTGCTACTAGCAGTTTAACATTTTACATGTAGATCAAAAAATATGTCAATTCAATTTGTAAGGTAACATACGACAACCTACAGTATGTCCCCATTTCTGTTTTGAATGGATTCTGTTTTGTAGCTCTCTCTCTCCTCCGCAAGGGCTGGAAACAGGCTTCAATGAAAGCAAAGTGTATTTTAGGAGTTCATCTAGATTTAGAGATACACACATATTCTATTTTTTATAGTGTAGAGGGTACCCAAATACCCCAATATCCACCCAACACTGTTGAAGTATTGAGAACACAATGAAAAGGTTGGGATAGGGGGTATAATCTTAGTGAGTGTATGATTAATAGAAAGCTCATGAACCAAACCACACACATCAGCAAAAACATACAAAGACTCCCACACACTGGGATGACAGGTGTGTTTTCTCTCTGCGTTAAAGACGTTTTTCACCAGTGTGATGCGAAAAGGTGGTGGAGAAATACAGGAAATTCACATGCAGATGCTATCTGATGTGACTAGCCCTGTTCTGTAACCAACATTTAACTTTGGCAAGTGCATATCAACTTAATTACCATCTTCATCACATCTCAGCTGCTGAGCAATCTCAAGCCATATGTTCCTTTATTTGGTTGTTGAGATTGTCGTTGCTGTTTCTTGTACAATATTGGGTGTTGAGAAACCAAAATGACAAAACATATGTCCATTTTGACAGCAAGCTGCCTGGAGTTATAGCTGAACTGAGGATTTCATTGATCATATATTTCCATAGGCGGAAATCCACTGAAATCGAGGTGTAATGCAGGGTTTTATACATTTGCGTTTGCTGTGAAAAATGTATTCACACAAAGTTGATGGCTGGAGAGTTTTTGCAGTTGGTGTCTATTCGCCACATTCAATAGATGTGAGACTTGTTTAAAATAGGCAGGCTTTGTGGTCATGTGTTGTTTTAGATTTGTGTTGGCTGCACGATTGATTAATCCTCAGAAACCCTCCACAGCTGACCTTCAGCAGAAGGACCGGGAAATGCTGGAGCTCCTGCAGGAGAGGGTGACTCTATTCTGTGAGCTGGCAGAGGTGACAACTGGTCAGGAGCCCCTACAACCTCCCATCACTCGCTACTTGTTCAGGGCAGACACACCCCAAGCGCCCCGTGCAGAGAAACTCCTACTGGATGCCACAGCTGAGGGTAACACACCAAGTTTCATGCCAACTAAAAAGAATTGTTAATAATTTGTTAGTTGGAAAGACCAGCTGGTAATACCGGTTAACATGCATAACTTCAGTGTTGTCTGATTTGACGGAACAGGTCAACTTTTTCACAATTTAAACGAACATTTTTTATCTCCAACCTTAAATTGAATTGTTTTAGTAGCCCTGGGCCCTAACACATTAAACACAGGATGTGACGCCCTGTCTCCATTGTCAAATGTGCCATCTACCATGACCTCCCCACTCGGACTATTGTGTGATATATGAATGTTGTGAAAAATATTCCAGGTCGCTAAGAAATGTATAGCAAAGCAAAGTAGTATATAAAACATTTTTTGATGCAGACATGGTTGATTTTTGTACTGTAGCTATTACTATTAATGCACCTGCCGGTGGAATGGAGAGAAGGCTGCAGCAGGCTGATAAATTACATCCGTATATTCCAGAACAGAAGCAGAAAACTGCTTCAACATTACTCTCAATAATACAAGCTGGTTCTGCTGCTGTACAAAAGCCAAGCTTCTGCCTCAGTTTACCAATGTTTATAGTGTCATTTGTTGTGTTTTTGTTTAGTTTTGTATCAATTTAAAACGTTAAAACGTACTTATTAAAAACAAAAATATGACTTTTCGTGATGCTGCTCTAAATTGGCTGCTTGTTTATTTAAAAGATATTGAACAGTATGTCTTAATTAATAGGTACAATTTAAATAGAGCCAAGCTACTTTGTGAAGTACCTCAAGGTTCCTTCCCTTGACTTCTCTTATTTTTGATATACATGAATGACCTACTGCAAAAATGTATTGTCTCTTTTATTTGCTGATGACACATCTTGTTGCTTCACACAAAAAGCAGTTATTGGAGAAACAAATGAAGAGCTATCGTCTATCTCTTCATGGTTACAGATGAAAAAACGGTCTATCAATACAAAAGCCAAAATATACAAAGACAACATTGTAATAACTTAAATTCCTAGGAGTCATAGATGACAAAAAATTGCCAATACCACTTCAAATGTATCTTTAAAAAGAAAATGATGTCAGTTGGAACAGTCCATTAATTGATAAATCATTCCTGTACTTTTACTTTTTTATTAAAACTTAATTTGTCCTTCATGCTTGGGCTGCCATATGTCCCATTTAACAATAAAAAATGCCCTATCAAATTTAACAAAATGTATTCATAGTTGAGCATTATTTTTGCTTGAAACAAGCTAATTGGGGTGCCAGAACAGTAAGGTATTTCGACTTAACAACATTTCTTAAACTAATTCACAAAATTCATAAAATAACACGAAAAGGGCTCAAAATCAATATTATTGATTAAATAACTTAAAATAAGATTACCGCTATTTCTTTCTAGATAAAAATGCTCCTCACAGGCAAGACCGGACTACTATCTGGCACAAGTGGGTTTGAATCTATGACATATGAGTCAGAGAGCTTGTGGTTAACCATTGAGCCAACTGACATCCGGTCAAGTGGTTCTAGACAAATCATCAAGTATGTTACAGATTGCCATGCATTTTGGTAGAGATATTAATGGTCACCAGAGGATAAAGCCTAATGACTTAGTTGATCCTCTGACTGATCCTCTAGTGCCACTAACATGTCAAAGTTTTTCTTATACAGAGAAATGTTGCGACATCTATTTGATGGATTGTGACAAAATCTGGTTCGAATAATAAACAGTTTCCTCCTAATGACTAAACACAATATAAACTCATCAATAGAAGACATTTGTAGGACTGTAGCGAATCGAAGCTTTGAGGCTTTATTCATAACTTGAAATTTGAACTCTAATGCTGTTTTTTTATCATTCATTTTGTTACAGCTGGTATTTCTGCACAGTTGCAGATATAGATCTGACTACACTATTTTTATTGGTATTATAATATTTGTAGAATGGGATTCCAATGGTGGCTGCTTAGGACTGTTTTCAACTGGTCCACATGTTAAACACACTTGCACCATGCACTTTTGACCATGCACTATAGATGGTGAAAGTAAAGAACTTGGTTTTGTTTAATTGTTGTTTAACAATGGGCACAATATCACCTTTGATGACACATTTTTCCAATAGATTAGATTAGAAAAACTTTATTAATCCCCAGGGGGGAAACTCATTTGCCACCCAAAACCTCATACAGACGACACAGTACACAGTACACAACAGACAAAAACACATTACAAAGGATAAATAACACCAGACAATGCCATATAAAACATGATAGACATCAGAAAGATAAAAACCTCTAAAGGTGTTCATTAAAAAATCGGACTGCTGCTGGAACGAAAGACCTTCTTAGTCGTTCAGTAGAACACTGAGGCAATACTGGTATTATTTCAAAGTTAGTCCTTTTTTGTGAAGTGTCTATACTTTTGTCTTATCACATCTGTAAGCATTGTACATGAACAGTGTGTGCAACTATGGTTGGTATTATTTTCCTCATCACAGAAGCATGTTCGGTCCAGTGAGTATTCTGCCATTATAGTAACAAGATATAAACAAGTGTGTAATCACCACGGGCTGGGATGTGGGATCATGTCTCCCAATATAAGCATTGTGAAAATTTGCTAAAAGAAGGATGATTTATTTCTCACTATATTTTGTCTTGCTTAGAGAAAATGTAAAATATTATATTTGTGAGTTATACAGGTGTGTGTTTCCTCAGTTGACAGGTTGAGTGAACTCCTTCTGGGGTCCAGGGTGAACATCCCTCTTCCATGCCTTCACAACCACATGGAGGTGGTAGAAACCAGTGAGTCACTGAAGGCTCCCATCTTTCATCATCAGTCATCGTTGCTGTCCAGCAACACAAAATGATAACAATCAATAACATTTTAGAGGAATATACAAGAAATATAAAACAGACACAAATTAAGTGAGTCAAACATACGGAACTATTCTTCTTCATCACATTATCATTGGCAAAAGGACTCCTTTGGTTTGCTATACTAAAGACAGTAACATGAGAGCAGGGTGTGGGCGGGGCTGAGCAGCAGGAGCAGGCATAGGTCGACAGGCAGCAGGTTAAAAACTGACATTACAACTAGTCTCACTACAACATTGAATAATATTATAATTGTAAATAGCTGACTCAAAGAGTTTAGATACTAGATTGATGTATCTATGTGTTCGATTAATGATCATCAAGATCGAATTTAGATTTAAGAAAGATACAAAAAAAAATCCCCGTCTATCTTTGTTTGTTTGTTATTAAATAGTCAGACATTCATTATCATAACTGTCTGTAATACTGAGTGACTGCTGTTCTTGTCTCTGCTCAGGTGATCAGGATCTGTTGGTCAATGGAGCCCATGATTTCTTAGCATCAAAGGTGAGCTGGGGGCCAAGAAATGAATGGGTCGAATGCTTTGTCATTATTTCAAAATTCTTAAATCTTCCTCTTACATCCGACTGGTTTTGTTGGAGCATCAGACTATCTTTGCAGCACTCACCAGAGTTTATTACTGCATGCAGTCAATATCAAATGCAACTATTGTGGCCCGTTGTTCTGGTACACTGTTGTTGTTGAACGTTAAATTGTTCTCCTGCTCTCCCGGATTTGGGGGTGGGGGTTTGAGCAGTGGCGGGCCGTGCATTTTATACCTGGGCCTTCACTGCTGTCCTGCAGCTGAAACACAGCTACGGTTATTATTTGTTTTGTGTCAAAATGAAGCCAACACCTACAGATAGAGTGCGTCTCCTCTCTGCTCTGACTGCAGCTGGGACTGCTGCGCCTCTGTGTGCTTTGGGGCGGCGGAGGGGCTCACGGCAGCTCCCACTGCTCGTTCACGACAGAACGGCAGAACGTACGTGCTTTCATGAGTCAAAACACCACAAAAGTCTCCAACAACACCTGATCAAGTCGCTAGATTTGTCACTAGTAGCTTTTGACAAAAAAAGTAGCCATGAGGGTTTAGAAAGTCACCAGATTTAGCGAGAAAGTCGCCAAGTTGGCAACGCTGGCACCGGATAAATATGTCGCCAGAGCAACATTGGACGTAACAATGGTTCCTATCACAAATAAAACCAAACAAAAATCTTCATAAAAACAAGTTCTACAAATAATAATATATAAACAAGCATATTAAAGCTACTGCAGATGTAAAAACAAACGTATTTAACTTACCAGAGCTGCTGTTCACTATTTAAAGACAAAGTGCATCCTCCTTTCTTTGTTAATAAAGAGTTTAATCTCACGGTTGTTCAGTACATCCGTGCGTTATAGTTCCAGTAAGAACTCCTTCTCGATTCAGTGAAGACAGTCAAGCCTCCCCAGTTGTATTTCTTGAATACATTTTAATGCGTTTGAGGGCTGAAAATGTCCGCTCGACAGAGGCAGCAGATAGCCCACTGACCAATCACGTATGGCTAGGCCAGCTAGCAGGCTCTGGCACATCAAAGAATACGCCCAACATGTCAAACTAAAGATCTGATTGATCATTCGCTTGTGGCTTCACAGCGGGCTTCTCTCCTGTGTCTGCAGCTTTTCTCCTTCGTGCCAAGATGGCACTCATTTCACCCATCGCTATGACAATCAACAATATCGTCCCCATTCACTTAAACTGCAAAGGGATTCACTTGTGATTATGCAGGCCTCTGGCCTCTGTTCTTACCTAGAGACACAGAGGTGAAATCTGATTGGATAAAAGCTCTACTTAAAACAAGCTGCACTGGAAGCAGAGCAACTGAGGAAGACAGTAGCTGTGCAATGAGAAAATAAGATAATGGGAAAAATATTTTTATAAATTATAATACATGTAGTGTATTTAAGAAATATTATTAAATTATAAAATAGATATAACTTTGGGATTCTGTTTAGGCCAGCAGAGAAGGCTTTGCAGGCCCTGACGGCCCATCACTGGGTTTGAGTCATGTCTGAGTAGGCCACTTGCTGAACCATATGTATGGCTTTTGTTTACGTAGTTTGCACAAATCCTTTGCAATAAGTAGCATGGCTAAATTACCCAGAGTTCTCTTCATTTCAACTGTTTTTGGTCATTTGATTAATCACAAATAGATGTGAGAATTTCTAACGCTAATACAATATCAAGTAGTTCCTGCATTATTTGTTTAACTTGAAGAATGACCTTTGTCAAAATCAAGTCGCAAGACCTTAAATATTGAAGTTCAATAAGTCGATGCTGAAACAATATATGTTGCAGCCTTAGCACCCACAAGACACTCGAGAACACACATGCAGGTATTTGTCTTAGCAAATGAGAGTACATTTAGCATATTATTCCCATGAAACCCTGGGATCCCATTTACCAGTCTTCTTCCAGACTCTCCACTTCATTACAAAAAATGTTTGTGATCAAGTCATCAAGGTGCTGTTGGGATGAAAGGAGCAAATATCACTTGTAACCAGCTCATAACACACCCTGCTATAATTGGATTCTACGGTCTAACCGAATTTCTAACTGCACCCCAAATAGATCCATCCATCCATTGAATTTCTAAATCCACTTATCCAGTGCGGAGTTGGAGGGTTGAAATCTATGCACTTTCACATTGGGCATGAACATATATCCAACAATTCCCTATGGCATCATATCAGTTCAACTGATGTATACTATTAATAGCTTATTATTGTTTTATGTTGAAACGTAACGTAATTGTGGTTATACTCTCCTCTGTTTGTGGGATATATTAAAAGGATTGCATGAGGAGTCAAGACAAGTCACCGCCTGCAGTAAGTAAGGGGGTGAAGGTTCCTCAAAGTGTGTGTGTGTGTGTGTGTGTGTGTGTGTGTGTGTGTGTGTGTGTGTGTGTGTGTGTGAGGGAGCGATAATAATAAGTATGCTGCCTGTTTTGACAGAAGATCTATCAAAGGCTGGTGAATCTCAGTGTTTACCTCCATGCACTCCAGGTTAGTAGGTTTTTACATGATGTTTTTGCCCAGAATTTTCTTCGTTAAGTCGGTATATAATATGTGTGTAGCATTCATTATATTTGTTTCTGAAAAGTGCATTCTATGACACGCTCTTCACTAAACGGTCTCGCTCGAACCCCAAATGGTCCTCGCTCGGGCTTAAACAGTTTTAACATGTTTGAGTCAGCACATGTTATGCTACATACCATGTTTTTTTTTAACAAAAAAGTTTATTATTCAAACAATTAATTATGAATCCACAGTTGGTGCTCTAGTGAGTATATTGTTATGTTGGATTGAGTGAAAATAAACTTCAGTGTGTGTGTTCATGGTAATGAAGGAACATGTCCCCCAGTGCAACAGTCTGGCACACTGATGTGTTTTTATGGTTTTTGGACAACAATGGATATATTGACAATAAGAAACAGAATAGTAGCAGCCTTATACTTTAAAGAGTAATACACAAAAAATATTTAGAAGTACACTGTTTATTATAAACAATTTACAATAACAAACTTGAAACATTGTATGTGTGAATAATAGTCTATCATACCGAGGAAGGGAATTTCATGTAAGTCTCCAACAGAAAAACTCTATGGTTTCAGCTTGGTTGTCCATCTTTAGCATGTAAAATATGGAAAACTGAATTCTCTATCATATCCTGCAGGGTGCTGTCATCAAACAAGACTCCATTTTAGAGTTATTGCTGCAGCCACAGGATAATGTGGCACCAGCTGCAGGAGGAGCGTGGCGCCCTCTCTGGCGAGATGTTGGAAATCGGGAGGCCAATGCAGTTTCAAGCATTGGGGAGCTGGCTCTTTTGCAGAGACAACACAGCCTGCTGCAAGAGGAGCTGCTGAGGCTGCGGGATGCCGAGAGCCGGTTCAAGGACAGTGAGAGAGCCCGGGCAAAGCTGGAGAGGCACGTCCGACACATGAAGGTCTGCAGCGGGGCTGCATCTGCCTCCCAGCAGCTAAGGGAGCAGGTTGCTCAAGTGAGAACATTTGTATTGCAATTCCACAAAGTTAGGAGACTCACAAAACAGATTTTTAAAGTCAGAATCAGGTTTATTGCCTCAGTTGATTTACTTATACAACAAATTGGGCATGGTGTTTAGTGCATAATAATAAATAACGTAAGAGGAAATAAAATAATTAAAAAAAACTATATGACATATGCACAATATGTCTATTTTAAAATGAAACAGGTGTACAGGTTGTGCAACGTTTTAACCAGGGAATGGGCAAATGTTCCACATATGAAGTATAATGTACAGAGATAATAATCCAAACGATGTGCATTAATGTAATGCATAGAGACCAATCTCTGAGCCCATCGGCTATCTGTCTCAGGCAGATTAGCCTCCGGCTGCAAGGGGCAATGTTTGCAGGGTTCCGGTGTAGCCATCAGATATCTGGGCCAAGACTTCCTCTTCTGTGAGCTGCTCATTGTTAACAGTCCAATTAGCAACTTGGGATGCAAGACTGGAGTTGGAGTTGTGAGACGGCGTGTACGACCAGATTATTTCACAAGTAGCCAGTTCACAAGTGTTTTTAAACCAGTAATAAACAAAATCATCGTCGGATGATAGCCGATGGGTTCCCAGATTGCATTTTGGCTAACACGTTGCTCGGGTTGACTGTTTACCTGCATTCAACCAAAACCTGCTCCAACGTGGTTGGTCAATACTGCTCGGACTAGAAACGAAAACCAGAAAGCCTCTGACTCTGCACAGAATCTGTTTTACATTGAGACAGAAGTGGAGGCTCTACGTTAATGTAATGTGTAGTGTCTGTGTGGTGGGAAAATAGTCAGTGTCGGGGGTGGGGTTAGTAGGTGGTTGAGGTGTTTAAGCTGTTCAATGTAGAAGGAGAGACTTAGTCTCGTCCGGCTGCTTTCTGGAGATTCTGTTTCTTTAACAGCCTGTTTACGTCGCTCTTCAGGATGGAGAGAGTAGTCATTGAAGTGGGGAATCCTACCTTTTAGTCCCTTGTATCAGTCAAGTTCCAAAAACACTAGAACCTACACTTCCCAAAATGCTGCTCAGTAGCATATCTTTTGTAGATACATCCTGCCTGTCAAACTTCACACCCCCAGTTCGAATACAAGCTTTCAGTTAAACATTTTTCGTCTCAGTCACAATGACCCCAATGACGTCATAGTGATGTTATCAGGGATATTATTCTGTCAGACAAATTCCTCACACAAGGCCTTATACAACCATCTAGAGTGAACTGAGTTTGATGTGTATTATGAGTGCTCCTTATAAATCAGCGCTTTTCAAAAGAATGATAAAAGTCCCAGTCATCAGCAGGTTTACAGTACAGTCCATGTGCCCCATGTTCACTGGGTTTTCTATGGACTCTTTCCTCTTGCTATTGTAGCCTGCCTCTCTGCAACCAGGAAGGGAGGTCTCAACCGGAGCTGACACCCTGTGGGCCAGTCAGGAACCTGCCCACCAATCAGATGGCCTCCAGGATGGCAGTGATTTGGAGGTAGACATGACGTCCGATGATGATGATGGGACGGAATCTGAAAGCTCCAAGGGTCAGATTCGAGACATAACACACAATGACTGTAAATGTTACATGTATCCTTTTCGTATCATCGTGTATTATAGGCAGGTATGGAAAGAGTGCTAGAATATTTTAGGTCAGTTAAAATTAACTATGAGTAAATGTTTATTTTACATCTTTAAAGGAATTAATTGTAGAACATATTAGGCCACAAAAAAAGTGCATTAACATGTTAATATTCAACCAACCAACAATACACTTTTCTCTATAGACATTTGCGTCCTGTGCAACTGATTATCAATTATCGATATACAACTATCTTCCTCAGCCCAAGAAGAATTAACCAGATTAGAGAAAGAAGTAAAAAAACAGCTATGGACAACAAGCATTATTAGGCTACATTAATTAAATAACCTTTCACTTTAAAGAATAATAATAATTTGAATAAAGCATCAAGACAGCCGAAACAGATTATAAAGACGATATAAACTCAACAGCAGCTACAGCCAAAAAACTCACATTAAAGCAAGAGAGAGACTGCACCGTTTTTCACACAAACAAGGAAACTTAAGGAGAAGTTCCTGTGCCAAGTTCTTGTTAACGTTTACAGAGGAGCAATAAAAAGCATCCTGACTGCAAACATTGCAAAGTGACATGCTGTTCACGGTCCAGGGCAGGAAAGCTCTACAGTGGGTGATTCAAAGTGTTGAGTTTACATTAACAACAAACAGCAAACTCAAACCAGGAATAGATCAAAACTGGGTGAGTTTACAGTTAGTTACTACTCAGAAGTTTGTTTTTAGATACTTTCAGTTATATTCAGTTATTAGTGCCAGAGAACAATAAAACAAAAAAGCTGTGTGAGCTTTGAACATTTTTCAATAGTCTCTCCCACATGATGTCATATAATAGCAGAATATTGGTTTGTAACTTGAAATGTGTCCGATTTTAGAAACAAGACGCCAATGAAATATAATTTCCTCTTAGTTTTAAAGGAACCGAGGGCTGAATTTTGATTTGTTCTCTTTTTTTCAGACCTTCAAGATATTCCAGAGGAGATCTGATTCTCGCCATGTTTTATAGTGCTAATGAGCTTATAGCTATAGTTGACTATGATGGAAACAGATTGATTCCAACAATGAGCACTTCTATCTTTTCTGCAAGTCTTAATGTTTATTTAGCTGCTTTGCTTGTCAGTAGATGGCTTGTGACAGTGAGCTTTTTTTTATTTTCAGTTATGCTTTGGATTGTTTGATGATTTACTACCATCACTTGGGTTGTTACTGTTTTCAGATAATTATGTTGTGCGCAAACCTGAAAAACAGGTAGGGGTCATTATCGAGATGATAGAGAAAAATAATGTTTCTATTCAATGCTGCCAGAAAGACCCTTAAGACCCACACTGAAATATCCGAAAAATACATAACCACCAAAAATGTAAAGAAATCCAATACATTTGCCCTGCAATAACTTCTGCTTTTACAATGCTTATCTTATTAAGGTTTGTGTTTGTCAGATCTTAAAGTAAGGCAAGGCAAGTTTATTTGTATGGCAGATTTCAACAACAAGGCAAATCAAAGTGCTTCACATAAAACAATTAAAAACATCAAAACATAAGGCAAAAGAAAAGGAGAAGAACATTCATTGAAAGTAGAGCAGTCCCAGACTACCTAAGGGGTCGGGATGGTTCATAAGGTAGCAGCACATCAGAGATGGATTTTGGCCCTAAACCTAAAAGTGCTTTATAAACCAACAGCAGGATTTTAAAGCCTATTCTTTGTTGGACAGGAAGTCAGTGCACAGACCTCAGAACTGGAGTGAAGTAGAAGTTGTAACTTCTAAAAATAACATCTGTGTCAGTCACTCATGAAACCTTTTACCATTGCTGAGGTCTGGCATCACTATGGCCTTAACACAGTAATGCAGCTCATCGCATCACAATGTAAAAGAAATAGATACACATGAACTAATGTCATTGCCACTCTGTGGATCCAGAAAGGCTTTCATGCCCTCTCCTCAGATGTAAGGCTTAAAGTGTATATAATCCATATTTAATTTTAATTTAGATTTTGGGGGTCACTTGTGGCTCACTGGTTTAAGAGGGTTGTCTGGTAACTGCAAGGACAACGGTTCGATCCTTGACTGGGACGTGGTGGCGAAGTGTCCCTGAGCAAGATGCTGAACCCCTAATGGCTCCCAGGGCACCTGTCATTGGCAGGTGCCTATCTTTTCTACAAGTCCACTGCTCCTTATACAGGAACAATATAATATAATAAATTAAAAAGGTGTGATAATGCTGGGAATTACCAGCTGAATCTGAAGTGCTTCTCAATTCCAACGAAATGTAATTTTTTCCGGCTTACAGCCGCAGTTTTAAACACTGTAAATTCAAACAAAACGAATACGCAACAAAACATTTCTTTAGTTCCGTAAAACATCATAGTTTGGCTTAAAATGACTGCTTTTATTTTGGTTTTGAAGTTACGGATGTAAATTAAAATGACTGAATGTTGACTTTTGGTTTCACACACAAACAGCAGTCTGTTAGTCCTTCCACCCCGATCTCATCCCTGTGTGGACTAAACTATTTGTGATACGTCAAAATCTAATTTTGTGACAAAAGGAGTTTTTAATAATATTTAGAGATAATTCTGCCACCTTAGCTTTAAAGAATTTTCATTTTGCACTTAATGTTGACAACAAAAATTACTTCATGGTCAGGAAGAATATGACCGACAAACTGGATCCTCAGATCACCATACCATCCCTAGTCTTCCGAACTAAACAAAATGTAATTTATGATCAAAAGCAGCTTATAGGTCAGTTGTGATTCATAGGTCTGTAATCTCATCTGCTTCGCTAACAGCTTCTGGTTGAAAGGAGACGTCATTGGATGTTGGTAGGAGACAGTCAGTGGTTGTCTCATCATCTAACCCAACTTCCTAAATGATTCACTTAAATAACTACATGTACATTAAGACTGCTGTGAATTTAGGTTTATCCGAGCACACTTAAATACTTGGCTCTGTCAGAGTATTTTTAAATGCATTTGTAGGTAAAAAGTATGCAAAATGTATGTTGACAATGTGATTCATGAGTCCAGCATTTCACAAACTTTTATGTCTGCATAGATGTCAGTCCTAAAACCTGGATGGATGGATTATGTATTTGTTCACAGACATAGCAGAGGATCCTCCATCAGCTTCAGTTGAAATGAGTGTTACAGCTCGAGTTTGACGGGCAGAAATAGTGCAGCTTTCTGGAACACTTTTCTGGGAACTTATAGAGGCTTTACATTTAAATGATTTAAAGTCAGATTTAAAGTCAGTAGTCTGCTTGGCTTGGTTGTTTTGCATGTTTTCCAATCTAACCTCTACCTTTTCTTACTACTGCAATAGAAAATAACTTTTAGCTTTACTGTGTCTTCATTCTTAACAGTTTTTATTGTATCTTAACACCGGCTGATTGCAGTCTAGTAACACAAAGAAGATTGCCAAATGGATGTAATATTATCTTCAGAATATAGCTTTTCAGTGGATGTTTTTGTTTCTGTTGCTGCAAAATGATACTGCAAAAACTCTCCACAGTTATCCTCATATTAGAATGTTGCAACTGCATGCCTACTTTTCTGCTAAATGTATTTTAGGCGTCGATCTTTTAGAGTGACATCTCTCTGCCTAAAAAGGCAGGATGAGTACAGTATTAGATGGCAAATACTGTTCAAAGTAATGACATGGATAAAGTATTATGAAGTCAGCAGATGCTTTATTCGTCAGTGACGCTGTAAGGCTGAACTGAAAACAAGGGCTGTACTTACTTTTGTACAACCTTTTGTCATTTATGTAAATTGTATTACTACATGGAAAAATAAAATCATGTCATACAAAATGAATCTGTATTGAAGGATGTATTTCCTAGCTGGAGACGAGTAAAAGAAGACTGATGACGATTCCATTTATATAGTTCTGTTAATTGATTCACCTAATGTCTAATGATGTGCCCAGACAGAAATTACAATATTGTTGATACACAATACTATAATCAAATTGCAATAGTGCAGTGGTTCGCACTGTTACTTCTTGATTGGAACCTTTCCCTGTGCATTGTGCATTGGGTTACTTGGTGACTGTAGATGCCTGAAGGTGTGACAGTTGTCTGTCAGCCAGCCTCTGAGGCCCCGCAAAGTATTCAGGGGCATACATAATGGATGGATGGAAAATTACAGCAATCACAATCACAATATAACGGCAGACTTTACAGACTTATCTGCCCATGTTTGGTTGTTTAGGGTGGGGCTACCTTTTGATTGACAGGTCGCTACCGCTACAGAGCTAAATGCGGCGTCTCGACGTCACTCGCACGGAGTCTCAATATGGTCACTTCTGTTCACTGGTTGCAAAAAGTCAAGATGGAGGAGAGGAGGACAGGAGGGCAGAGGACAGGAGGGCAGAGGACAGAGGAGAGGAGGACAGGAGGACAGGAGGAGAGGAGGACAGGAGAGCAGAGGACAGGAGAGCACAGGACAGGAGGACAGAGGAGAGGAGGGCAGAGGACAGGAGGACAGAGGAGAGGAGGGCAGAGGACAGAGGAGAGGAGGACAGGAGGAGAGGAGGACAGGAGAGCAGAGGACAGGAGGACAGAGGAGAGGAGGGCAGAGGACAGGAGGGCAGAGGACAGAGGAGAGGAGGACAGGAGGAGAGGAGGACAGGAGAGCAGAGGACAGGAGGGCAGAGGACAAAGGACAGGAGGACAGGCAGAATGACTAATACTGACTGATGTCTGTGTTCTTCATTCTTTATAAACTTCTCTCAGAAATGTTATTTATTTTATTAACATTTTACATTTGTTTCTAGTGAGATATGATTGACTTTATGTGACTTTGCTGTTGTAAACATAACTGTTGCTGCTCTAGAAACAATATTTAGATACATTTTAAATGTAAATTCTAATCCTTCTCAAAATTTGTTTTTAAAATTCAATATATGTTTTTAAAAGCAATTATTTAGTCATGTAGAAGAACAGAGTATTGATAAGAGTAGCTCCTAGTTGGAATAAAATACTAAAGATCTAACCCATACTAACCCATACCTGTAGGTGTGGAGGCTTGGATTCTACCCCACACGAGAGCAGGCCCCTGATTCACGTTCCACTGCTGTTTACAGTAGAGACGCTTCGATAATAAAATCTACCATGAACTGGTTTACAGTCAAAAGTATTTAATCCTACTGAAGCTAATACAATTACAAAGTGAAGCACATTAATTACAGTATCTATAGATATATATTATCTGCGCAGAGAAGCATCTTTACCCTCATCCCAGATGGGAGCACAGCTGCCCTCACGTTGAGACCAGAGGAAAGACACTGAATTCTTTCCCAGCACTTCCGTTCACAGTTTGAAAACCCCTCCCCTTTGTCTAGTTTAGTTCCTATTGGCTAACTTCAACAGTCTCCTCCTAGCATCAGACCGTTGAAGACCCTCGCACGGGTACAACCTGAAATTGCCTGTCTGGAAATCTGTCTGTCCCTAAGCTTAACATACTATATTAAAGGTAAGGATTTGCAACTTTTGGCAAAAACTTCACAAGTTTTACAAGCATAAATGGGACTTCCAAGTACTTGCTATATTATTATCCCCCACCTGTAAGAGGTGCTACTAATTCTACTAAGAAACACTTCTAACTATACATTCTAAAACACTCCTATATTTATGACTAATTATGAATTCTTAAACACTTCTATTATAATTTCTTAAAGCACACTTCTAAACCTAAATTTCCTACATAGGTCACCGTACTTCTCCAACATGCTAGGAAAGTGATGTGTGAGCAGAGTATTCAGCTGGTTGCAATCTGTAACTCACCACTAGATGCCACTAAATATTACACACTGTTCCTTTAAATGCATATATTTGTGGATTTCTCTTTGATTCAGTTAAAACAAGAGATATGTTCTGTGTACATTGTAAAATATTTTTGCGGAGAGTCATTTAAATGTAAATCTCAAAAAACATCTGTGAATCCTTTTCTGTGCATTAATTTATATTGAGACTGACCTGACCACATGTCTGTGTACTCTGTATGCTTCATTACTTGAATTAGCATGCACTGGGACCCCTGTTAAAAGCTTCTACAGAGCCAGCAGGCAGATTATTCCAGAGAAAGAGGCCCTGCAGCCAGCTGACTTCTTTTATTCTGTATATTATTGTATTCTGAGAGCCCACAGCACTATATGAGAAATGTATATGTCATTAGTAGCACCTGAAAGTAATATCAAATGCCGATAGGGAGCCAATGAACGGAAGCTAAGATTAGTGCAATAACTTTTTTTAAACAACAATATTTCAGAACTAATTAAATCCAAATATTTTCAGTACTAATCATTTCTTTCTTCACTCCTGATTTTTTTTTCATTTTGTCTTTCTATATATGTATGTCTCTTGAATTCAGATGTGTTATGAATGGAAAATCAAGAAACATTACAGCCTGAAAAGCAATGCAGAATGCACTTTGATGATATATGAATGCTCTGAATATTGCTCCTTTAAATGCACTCTGAGTAGTTTTTGAAACAGA